TGTCCTTATTGACTTAGACTGAGTGAATCCTGTGAATGACTGAAGTCCAGATCCAGAGCACTCATGTGGGCAAATCCCAAATTGTGCCTGCCAGAGGAATCACAAGGGCAAAAGAAGCAAAGCTCTTCAAAAAAGTATGCTAATTTACTGGGGAATATGAGAATTAATATATTTAACCTCATATGGGATTTTTTTTTTTTTTGCTCGACCATGCATACTGTATTTGTTACAATGGTTTTGTTTTTCTTTTTTTTTCAGTGGGGGAAAGAGAGTGAAAAAAATAAATGCTTGATAATTGAAGAAGAAAAAAAGAAAAAGCTATCTTCAAAATAACAACAAAAAGTAAAAAAAAATTTGGCCTTTGTACTTGCCACATCCAGGTCACATAGAAAACTTGCATTTGCCTCTGCATTAAACACACTTTTGTCCCTTCCACAATGGGTACTCATCACACTCAGGGTGCTCTCTTCAATAGTGATAGCCACTTACACATTTATGTAGCACTTTGTAGCAACAAAATACTTTCATATAAATATATACCTATATATGTAAATGTATCTACAAATACATGCATACTTACGGTATTCCCAAAGCATCTGGAACTGCAATGCCCCACAGACCACCAGTTCTGTCTCCAGTCCACCCCCACCCCCTGGTGGTCATCATCCAGGGGAGTAACCCTTGTGGAGAACGGATACAACATCCCTGCAAACATCAGTCCCCAGGCTACCAGTCCTGCTTTTCTCCTGCCCCTCTGCAGCCATAGTCCACAGGAGTAACCTTTGTGGACATTTGGTGTGGTAACTGCACAGCAGCTCTCTAGGTCCTACAGGCCTTGTCTTCTCAGCAGCCACAGTTACTAAAGAGCCAGAAATTAAAATTTTCATTACCAAAGACTTTGGTACTATCAGTTGGTTCAGTGGAACCATATCAAATGGTTTTATCAGTGGAAATGATACAAAGGAAGATTTATGACCATCTGCCCTGTTGTTCTACTGTTAGTTGGGATTTTCCGTCTGATGTGCAGCTGAAACCCATATGTATTGTCTCTCCCATTATAATGTGAGCTTCTCAGAGCAGAAACTGTCTTGCTTTTTCCTCCCCTCCCCTCCCCTCCCCTCTCTTTTTCTTCCAGGCCAAGGGGAAAAGTGTTGAACACATGAACATGCAGTCACAGTACCTGAGTTCAAATCTGAGCTCTGCCATATACTACCCATGACAAGTCAATTAACATCTTAGGGCCTCAGTTTCCTCATCTATAAAATGAAGGGGAAGGAGTTCTAAGGTCTAGATCTTTGGTAACAAGAAATACATTTTTATCATTTCATACAGTTATTAACTGTTGGATGTGGTATGAAAGGGTTTTTATTTTGGGGACACCCCTCTTCCATGCCCTGAAGAGCCCCTCTGTCTAGGTCTTGGACCCTAATCCTGTAGGAACACAGCCCCTTCCTGTGGAGTCCTCCAGCTATTGTGTCAAATAATTGAGGATAACAGAGCTAAAGGAGAGCTCAGGAGATGAACCAAGCAGAATGAGAGGGAGGCAAAGAAAAGTATCAGATAAAGGGATAGCTGAGTAGTGCAGTGCAAAAGGATAGAGCACCAGACCTAGAGTAGGAAGATCTGAGTTCAAATTCAATTTCAGACACTTACTAGCTGTGTAATGATGGGCAAGTCATTCAACTTATCTGCCTCAGTTTTCTTCATCTGTAAAATCAGGATAATAATAGCATTTACCTCCCAGGATAAAATGAGATAACATTTGTAAAGTGTTTTGCAAACCTTAAAGCAGCATATAAATGCCAGTTATGATGATAATTTCTTGTTACTATTAAGTAAAGAAGCCAGCTTTTTTGCATTTGGTAAGCTAGCTCTGCAGGCTGTTTCCAAAGCAGAGACCTGGAAATGTTGCCAGCAGTGGCAGCAAGCCTGGAATAATGATGCAGCTTCCCAAAGGAAGCTCCAGGACTATCTAGTTATTTGGTCATTGTCATGTCTGACGCTAAGTGACCCGACCAAGACGTCCATGGGTTTTTACCGGCAAAAGTACTGGAGTGGTTTGCCATTTCCTTCTTCAGTGGATTAAGGCAAACAGGTTAAGTGACTTGCCCAGGGTCACACAGCTAAGGGTCTGAGGCTATTTTGAACTCAGGTCTTCCTGACTCCAGGCCCAGAGCTCTATCCACTGAGCCACCCAGCTGCCTCCCTAGTGTTATAAACGACATCTCTTGAAAAAGGAGCTGAGGCTCGGCCCATGAGAGGTACCACGGCGGTTCGGCCCCGTTCACTTGAACGGCAGCACACTTGACTCTCAGGGGTAGCACTCCACGCCCAGAGCAGCCCCTACAGGTTTAACACCTGCCGGAAAGCCTTTCTTCTTCCGAGTGGAAGGGGACAGGGCCTGAAGCACGGAGGAGACCCAGAAGAAGCTGGGGGATTTGCGTGGGGGTGGGGGCAAGCGGGGACGGCAAGCTTCCAGCCTTCAAGGGAAAAGGGAAGATGCGGAGAAACCATAGAGAGGGGAGTCCGCTGAGCGGCTAGAGCGGCCTGGAGGGAGCGGAGAAGAGCCGGGGAGTCCGGCCGCTCTAGCCGAGGGTGGGCAGTGGATTCTCGGAAAGCAACGACCTGTGCCGCCATTTGCGCGCTGCCCTGCAGAGTCAGGTGAGTCTGGCCTCAGCTTCCCCGTCTGTGATACGGTGGAGCTAGCGGGCTTGGTGATCTCTAAGCGCATGTCACCGCTCCCCGATCCGAGGCCAAGAGTGATGAAGATGATTGTTGTCATTATTAATGTTGTATGACATTGTGATGTGATTAACTATACCATGTTGAAATCATAGCTTGCATTTATAAAAAGTGCTTAAGGTTTGCAGAGCACTTTACAAAGATCTCCTTCGAACCTCATAACCACTGTAGGTGGTCGTTGCTATTATTATCCTCATTTTATAGATGAAGAAACTGAGGCAAAACAGGGGTTGAGTAACTTGCCCAGGGTCACACAGCTAGTAAGTATCTTAGGTTGAATTTGAACTCAGATCTTCCTAACTCCAGGTTCAGTGCTCTATCCACTGGCAGGAGGAGGGGGCCTTAGGGACTGGCCGTCTTGTGACCAACATGGTAGTGATGGTTTAGGGAGCTGAAGAGAGGATGAATGGCTGAGCACACCCAGACAGCTGGCGTAGACAACTCAAGTTTGGCAGCCAATAGAAAGGAAGAAATGGGATGGTTGCTGGATATGATGGAAAGGGTAAGGTTAGTTAAAGGATATGAACAGGCAGCTTTTCAGTGAAAAAATAACTATATATAGTCATGAAAAAATGCTCTAAATCATTATTGATTAGAGAAGTGGAAGTTAAAACAACTTTGAGATAACATCTTAACACTTATCAGATTGGCTAAAATGAAAGAAGGGGAAAATAACAAATGTTGGAGGGGATGTGGAAAAATTGGGACATATTCACTGTTGGTGGAACTGACCTGATCCGTCTTGGCGAGCAATCTGAAATTATGCCCAGAGAGTTATAAAACTTTGTATACCTTTTGACCCAGCAATACCACTATTAGGTGTGTGGTGTTCTAAAATATTTATAGCAGCTCTCTTTGTGGGGGCAAAGAACTGGAAATTGAGGGGATGCCCATCCATTGGGGAATGGCTTAACAAGTTGTGGCATGTGATTGTGATAGGATACTGTAGTGCTATAAGAAATGACGAGCTGGATTTTTTAGAAAAATATGGAAAGACTTTGAAATGAGCAGAACCAACAGAACGTTGTACACAGTAACAGCAATATTGTTCTAAGAACAACTTTGAATGACTAAGTCATTTTGAGTATTATAAATACTCAAATCAGCTACAAAGACCCAAGAAAGAATCTTCACCTCCAGAGAAAGAACTGATAAACAGACATATGTATAGTATGGTTTTACACATACACACACATACTTATATGTGTGTGTGTGTGTGTGTGTGTGTGTATATACTCTCTCTATATACACACATACATATTTGTATTTAATGAAAGCCTTTTCTAGGGTAGAGTGGGGAGGGAAGGAGAAAAAAATAAAAAGTATACAGCAGAGAACAAAAGAAAAAAAAGGAAGCATAGAAAAGCACAGTAGTTTTGAAAGTGGTGAAATGGAAATTCATGGTTCTATATTGAATCTTGTTTTTATGTTGTGCTGTGCATATGGAAATGTTCTCCTTTTTTTGTCTTTTTGTATTTAAGTTTGAAATGAATAAAACCTTTTTTTTTTAAAGGCAAGGAAAGGTTTGTTTTGTTTGTTGGCTTGTTTTCAGCCCTGGGAAGGCATTTATAGTCTGAGGCTAAGAAGCCAGTAGAGAATTAGAGAATTAAGGAGGCACAAAAGCAGGAGATTTGATTCAATTCAACACTTATTAATCACCTGTTGTAATCTCAGAGCTACTATGACCAAAAAAGTCCTGTCCTGTAGGAGCTTACATTCTACAAGGTAGCAAGGAGGAAACAAACACCAAGAAGACAGAGAACGTTGAAGGTTTTCAGTTAGAGGCAGGTTGAATGTTCCTTACAGAGAAGATGACATGACCTGTTCAGGAATTCAACTAAGAGCAAATAAGTTCCTATTGTGTGGAATGCATTGGGGAAACAAAAGCAAAAGCAGAATTGGCCCTGCTCTAAAGGATGGAGTGTCTGTTGGGGGCTCCATCAGTCATACAACACACAAAAAAGTACAAGTGAACACATGGCATAAACAAAGTCATTTTGAGAGGCAGTGTGCTCATAACCAAGGGGATTGGGAATAGTCTTGTGCAGGAAGTAGCACTTCAGCAATATTTGATAGGAGGGCAAAGGAAACACCTAGTTGTGTTGGGATGTAAAGTATGTGAAGGGGAATGATATGAAGTGAGATAGATTGGAACCAGACTGCAGAGGGGCTTTCTTGTAGTCTCTACTTTGCAAATATATATACCCTGTGTCCCTCACAGCTCTGATCTTATCCACCATGCCCTTCTTGATCCCTAGGCCCTAGGCTGTGCACAGCGACAGGAAGTACTCTCAGAGGAGCAAAGACAGAGATGAAAGCTCTGGTTGCAGCACTTGTTGTCAGTGATTGGGCCATGGCCCGTACCTCAGTGTCGTGAAGACCTACTCTCCTTCCATCTACATCATCTCCAACAAGGTATGTGATTTGATTAGACATTTTGATTTTATTAATCCAGAATTTGATTTAATTCAGGAAAAATTTATTTATTTAAGCAAGAGCTGTGTACAGAGCCCTGCGCTAGGTGCTGGAGTGACCCTATAAAGCAGAGTAGAACATGAGTTCCTACCTTTATAGAACTGATGCTCTTATAGATTATAAACCAAAGTTGATCATGATAATAAGTGAATAAGAGAAGTAGAAATTAAGTGCTCTGTGAGGTGCATGTGTGTATGTTGGGGGGGGGAGCAGGGACAGAGAAATCATCTTTAACAGAGCAGACTCAGAACCTTCTGAGATGAAAGGGACATCTAATCTCACCTGTACCCGAAGAGTACTTGCCTCAGTGACATCTCCAGTGAGAGGTCCTTCAAAGTCCACTTGAACATTTCCAGTGAGATACCCCAATTGAATATGTCTACTCCAAATGTGGTTCAATTAAGACAGGGCCCAGTGGAATGATCACCTCTCTGATTCTGGACATTATGTCTCTTGATTGTAGCCTGAGGTTGCATTAGTGGTTTTAGCTGCTATGTCATTCTGTTGACTCATATTGAGCTTACTGTCTCCTAAAGGTTCCTTATCCCCTTACCTCTTTCACATTCAACCCTTTTGTGGTCAGTTTTAAAAAATTTTTTATTTTTTATTTTTAGGCAATTGGGGTTAAGTGACTTGCCCAGGGTCACACAGCTAGTAAGTGTCAAGCATTTGGTCTGAGGCCGGATTTGAACTGGGGTCCTCCTGACTTCAGGGCCGGTGCTCTATCCACTGCCCCAACCAGCTGCCCCATTTGTGGTCAGTTTTTAAACCAAAGGGTAGAATTTTGCATTTATCCCCATTGTGCTTCACTTCATTTATTTTAGTCTATCATCCTAGCCTTTCAGGATCTTACCAGATCCTGAGTCTATTGTATCATCTGAAATTTTGACAAACATGCCTTTTGTGCCTTTATTCACGGCATTGATGAAATTGTTGAAGTACATGTATATAGTCAAGAACAGGTCTTTGAGGTACTCTGCTATGGGCTATCTTCCAAGTTGATATTAATCTATTTAATTAAACAAATTTATATTAAGCACCTACAGTGTGCGAAATGCCATGTTGGAGATACAAAAACAAAAATGAGACCTCTTCTGTCCTGAAAGAGGATACGTTTTACTGGAAGGATACAACTTGTTTACAAGTATAATTCAGAATAATTTGAGGAGGAAGAAACAAGTTCAGGGAAAGCTTCAGGAAGGAGGAAACACCTAAATTGAGCCTTGAAAGAAGACAAAGATTTTGAGAGGTAGAGATGAAAAGAAAGCGCATTCTAGCCATGTAGAAAGGCCTGGGTAATATCCAGAGGCAGGAGATGGAATGTCAGTGTCAAGTTCAAGTACAGCTTGACTGGACCGTAGCCATTTGTTAAGGAGAATAGTATGACAAGACTGCAAAGGGAGGTTGGAGCCCAGTTGTAGAGGGTCTAAAATTGTAGGCTGAGGAGTTTGATTACAGGATAAAATACAGTGGTTTTTTTTTTTATGGAAGATTGACATAAGTAGATGCATCTTAATAAAATTATTTTGATAGCTGTATAGAAGATGGATTGGGAATAGGAGAGACTCACAAGCCATTAATGATGACTTTGGGTCTGGTCATTCAACTTTCCCTAATTCACCCAACCATATTCTCATCCAGCTTACATCTCTTCATCTTGTCTTCTAGGATATTAAATGTTTTTTGTACATGCTTTTCGCAAATCCAGATAGGCTTTATCTAGAATGCTTTCCTGATTCCTGAGTCTAATTACTTATCAAAAAGAGGTAATGGGGTTCATTTTCCATGACCATTTTTGATGATGATCCTTTCTCTTTTCTTAAGCCTTCTCACTCCAGGTTCTTGTCTATCCGCTTGCGATGACTCCAGGAGATCAGGTGATAGTGAACAAGCTCCTACCAGCCAGGCCTCAGGTGAGCTCTCTTTCCTGAGATACCTTCGTTGTTGAGGTCCCAGTGTGAACTTCTGTCCTTCTTCTTAGTCAGGAGCTTTTCTGCCTAGCAACTTCCATAAGCCCCAATTTCCTTCTCTAGGAGCCTAAGCTGAATCCTGGATGACAGATTTCATATACCTCGTAGTATGGAGTCAAGCACTGTGAGTCAACTGTACCTCTCCCCAGCAATTATACGATTTGGAAACATGGACTGTGTGGCTTTTTCAGACAACTAAGAGTAAATAAGTTCCTACTGTGTGGAATGCATTGGGGAAACAAAAACAAAAGCAGAATTGGCCCTGCTCTAAAGGATGGAGTGTCTGTTGGGGGCTCCATCAGTCATACAACACACAAAAAAGTACAAGTGAAGCTGAGGCAGACAGAAGTTAAGTGACTTGCCCACAGTCACACAGCTAGTAAGTATTTGAGGCTGGATTTGAATTCAGATGTTATCAATTCCAGGCCTGGCACTCTATCTACTCTGCCATCTAGGTGGCCCCAGCTCTCAAAAAGCTCAAATGCTAATGAGATCAAATACAAACTTGCTGTTTGGCATTTAAAGCCTTTTGTATACCAACTTTCTCTTCCAGCCTTACTCATTACTCCCTTTGAGCACTCAGTGGTCCAGCCAAATTATCTTCTTGCTGCTCATAACACCCATCACTCTATCTCCTGTTTTTGTACAAACAGTTTTTCATTCCAGAACAAACTCCTTTGCTTCTGCTTCTTGGTATCTCTATCTTCAGCCCAAATGCCACCTCCTACTTAATCCTTTCCTGATCGCCTGGCTACTAGTGCCTTTCTGCCCCCCCACCCCATTACTTTTATATGTTTATATGTGTGTGTGTATATATATATGTGTGTGTGTGTGTGTGTGTATTTATATATATATATATATATATATATATATATATATATATATATATATATACACATATATATATATATATATACACATATATATGTATATATATGTATATTATACACACACACACATATGCTTATATACACATAACTCCTAAAGGACAGAGACTTTTTCATTTTTGTCTTTATATCTCTAGTGACTAGCATAGTTCTTGACATATAGTAGATGTTTAATAAATGCTGATTGTTTGAGACAAACATTTGTACCCATAAATATTCAACTCATGTGCACATAGGTTTATACATGTTTGCAATCACATATGCACTTATTTATACATATACACACTTATACACACACATTTGCACATTCTCCCTATTCTCTTCAGTACTGCCTTTTTATCTAGTACTTTTCATCCTGTGAAGGGTAAGAATAAGGAAAAGAGTGAGATTATGCCCAGGGCTGAAGGAGGAACATGTTATTTCAGGTATCTGTGATGTTCGAGGATGTGGCTATCTACCTCACCCAGGATGAATGGGGCCATCTAGGACCTGCTCAGAGGGGTCTCTACAAGGATGTGATGCTGGAGAATTATGAAAACCTCGTCTCATTGGGTAAGGCCTCTCCCCCACGAACTCAGATGTGGGTTTCTTGGCATCTTTGAATAACTGTAAGTTCTGATGGGCTCAGTTAGGTTTAGGCTTTAACATGTTCAAGAATCTAAGACTGCTGATCTTGTCTAGGCTCAGAGTTAGAGCATTTGTATTCTCTTTTCTTTGTCTTTTATTTGAGGGGGGGCTTTTTTTTTTAGTGAGGCAGTTGGGGTTAAGTGACTTGCCCAGGGTCACACAGCTAGTAAATGTCAAGTGTCTGAGGTCAGATTTGAACTCAGGTCCTCCTGACTCCAAGGCTGGAGCACTATTCACTGTGCCCCGTAGCTGTACTCTCTATTCTCTTATCTCAACCCTTAGGTATGGTCTGTGTAGAATGAGAAATGAGCATTTTCCTTACGTCTCTGCATTTGTACCTTCCCTCTCCTTCCAGCTTCCTATAGAACACCTGACTTTGCTACCCCAAACCTCTTGGATCCCATGAGGACATTCCCAGGGATGGAACTTACCCACCTTCCTGATTAAGGAGAGGGCACCTAAGTTAATTTTTTTTCCAAGGCTCCAAATCACCAACTCCCAGATTGCCTACTCCTCTTCTAGAAAACATGAGTCTTCAAGATTTGTTCAAACCTAGCCTAGGCCTGCCTGTCATATCTTTTCTGGCTCTTTTTCTTGAAGAAACAAAGTTCTGTGAATTCACAGCAAATTAGACCTGTTTCTTTTCTTACATGTAGGATTTCCAGGGTCCAAACCTGAAGTGATCTCTCAGCTGGAACAAGGGGAGGAGCCATGGATCCTGGACATGAAGAGAACTGAGAACAGAGAGATCCTGGAAGGTGGCTACCCATGTTAGACAATGAGAACCTTCCTTTCATTTAGTCATTAAGCATTTATTCATTGAGCATCTCCTTGATATGTTTGTTGGGGTCAAGTTCAAAGGAAGTAGGAGAAACAGTTTCTGCCCTGGAGATCTCACTGTATGGTCCATCTTGCAGGTTCCTATCTTTGAGCAAAGGGTTGGAGATGTGATGTGTGAGGTCATTTTGTCCCTTTAGCATCAGATTCAAAGGTTAGGGCTATCATCAGATATCCCAATTTCCATTAAGAACCCTACGATCTCTGTCACTGATAAATGTATAAATCTTTTTTTTTTCATTTGTTGATAGATATTTTTAATGCAAAAATTACTTTACATTTATTTGGGGCTTTAACAAAGTATTGTCTTCACAAAGGCCCTGTGAGGTAAGCAGTGCAAGTATTATCCCCATTTTATAGATGGGGAATAATAGATAGGAATATAGATAGGAAATTAAAGCTCTGGGAAGTAAAATGACATGTCCATAGTCAAATGGCTAGTAATTGAACCAGGGGTCAACCTAGGTCTCCTAGCTTCATGTCTAGTAATTTTTGCACCATATTACACTGTCTTTCTCATATATATATGTGTGTGTTTGTATGTGTGTGTATGTGTGTATGTATATGTGTGTGTATATATATATGTATATATGATACATGTACACACACACACACACACACACACACACACACACACACATTCTCGGAGTTAGAAGGGAGCTCGGAAGCCATCTATTTCATCCCATACTGGACCAAAAATCTCTCTTGCATTATGACCAACAAATGATCAATTAAGCCTTTGCTTTAAGACCACAAGTGAGGGGGGTCAGCTACCTCCCAAGGCAGCCATTTCCAGTTTGGGACAGCTGAAAGAATTAGGAACTTTTTCTTGACCTCAAACCTATATTTTCTTCTTGGCAACTTCCAGTCATTACCACTAGTTCCGCCCTCTAGGCCAAGCAGAACTATCCCTGTTTCACACTTTGCACTTTAGGTACTTCAAAACAGCTATCATTTGCTCCCCCTAAGTCTTCTTAGTCCAAGGTAAGGATCCCCAGTTCTCTCAGCTATTTCATGGTCTTTATCTTTAACCATTCTAACAATCCTTCTCTGGATGTTTATCCAGTACCCTCTCTAAACCCTTCATGTTATCATTACCCTCCCTAAAATGTGGCATTTAGAACTTACCACAGTACTTCAAACACAGTCTGAAATATGGTGTCCATGGTTTTTTTTTTTGGTGTGTGTCGTGGTTTTTAAGCAATCTAATGGTTTGTAAATTATCTCTCCTTGGCTTATTTTCTGGATTGGTTGTTTAATGGTAGGAAATATCTTACATTTTCTTCTCTTTTTTTTTCAATCTAATGATTTTGTTCTTGTATTTCTTATTGTCTCATGGAATAACTGATTTCTATTTGTCCATTCTTATTTTTCAGGGTGCTTGCTATTTAGGTAGGGTTTAGCATCTCCTGGATTGAGCTATTTAGTGTCCTATCCATTCTTTCCTCTAGAGTTCTCATTTCATTTGTAATAATCCTTTTTTAATCTCTTGCTCCATTTCTTCCAGGAACTCTTATAGACCTTATGACTAAGCTATCATATACATGTATATATATATATATATATATATATATATATACATATACACACACACACACATACATACATACACACACACGTGTGTATATACTTTTCTATATGTATATATGTATGTGTGTATGTATGTATATATATGTGTGTGTGTGTATACACACACACACACATAAATACACACACATACATACATACATGGCTCTATTTGTAGTTGTTGAGTAGTTATTTTCTTTTTCTGGGTTTGTGTCTGTGCCTTGCAGTCCAAAGAAAATTTTTTTTCTTTTTGATTGTCGTGTTCCTGTCCTAGGTGTCTCCCCTGAATTGAGAAGTAATATGAATTTTGCATTTTTTTCTTATTTAGATGGTGAGACAAGATCAAGAAACAATGAACTTCCTCCAAATCAAGGAATTTATGAAAAAGTAGAATCCCAGTACATGACCTTAGAAATACTCAGAGGGGATATTCCTCAGTTCCTCAAGTTCAGAGAGGTATATAAATATGAGTGCAGGGTAGAGCAACACCAAAGAGAAACTGTTGAAGAGAGACAGAGAAAATCCTATTCTTTGGTGAAAAATTTTAGACCAGTGACAATAATTCAGAAGGAAAACTCATTGGAGCAGAGAACACAAGTAAATACCAAATTTGGGAGAAGCTTAAATTTGTGCTCAAATCCTAATGTACATCAGAGAGTTCCTGCAGAAGAAATACCTTATAAATGTGATACATGTGGCCAAGGCTTCAAACACAATTCAGGTCTAATTAAACATCGAAGAATCCATACAGGAAAGAGATTTTGTAAAGCTAATGTATTTAGGAAAATGTTCAGGCAGAATTCAGTCCTTCCTGGAAAACAGAAAGCTTACAATGATGAGAAATCTTCTGAATATAATGAATTCGAGAAAACCCTCAGTCAAAGATCAGCATTTACTAAACATGAAAAACCATTTGCTAGAAACAAACCGTATGAATGTAATGAATGTGGCAAAGCTTTTAGCCAGAGTGCACACCTTATCCAACATCAAAGAATTCACACTGGAGAGAAACCTTATGAATGCAATGAATGTGAGAAAACTTTCAGTCAGAGATCAACCCTCATTAAGCATGAGAGAACACATAATGGAGAGAAACCCTATGAATGTAATGAATGTGGGAAAAACTTTCGTCAGAACTCTCACCTTATTTATCATCAAAGAATTCACACTAGAGAGAAACCCTATCAGTGTAATGAATGTGGGAAAGCCTTTAGTGCTTGTTCTTCCCTTATTCAACATCATAGAGTCCATACTGGAGAGAAACCCTATGAATGCAATGACTGTGGGAAAACCTTTAGTCAAAGCTCTAACCTCATTCAACATCAGAAAACACATAAAGGAGAGAAACGTCGAGAGAAATGTTATGAATGTATTATATGTGAGAAAGTTTTTAGCACACACTCATCTTTTATTCAGCATCGAAAAATTCATACTGGAAAGAAACCGTATGAGTGTGGCCAGTGTGGGAAAGCTTTCCGTCAAAGAACTCACCTTATTACACATCAGAGAGTTCATACTGGAGAGAAACCCTATAGCTGTAGTGAATGTGGAAAAGCTTTCAGTCAGAGCTCTCAACTTATTCAACATCAGGTAATTCATACAAGAGATAAACCTTATGTGTGTAATGAATGTGGAAAAACCTTCAGTGCTCATTCTTACCTTATTAGACATCAAAGAATTCATACTGGAGTGAAACCTTATGAATGTACTGAATGTGGGAAAACTTTTAGCCAGAGAATAACTCTTATCGTTCATGAGAGAATTCACACCAGAGAGAAACCTTATGAATGTGACACATGTGGGAAATCCTTTAGTGCTCCATCATCTTTTATTCAACATTGCAGAATTCACACTGGAGATAAACCTTACGAATGTAGTGAATGTGGCAAAACCTTCCGACAAAGCTCTCAGCTTATTACACACAAGAGAATTCACACTGGAGAGAAACCTTATGAGTGTAATGAATGTGGAAAATCTTTCAGTGCATGGTCATATCTTATTCAGCATCAGAGAATTCATACTAGAGGGAAATCCCATCAATGTAAGGGGTGTGGCAAAGCCTTCAGTACACGTTCTTATCTTATTTTACAGTATAAAATTCATACTGGAGAGAAGCGCTATATGTGTAATGAATGTGGTAAAGCCTTCAATACATGTTCAGATCTGATTCCACATCAAAGAATTCATACTGGAGAGAAGCCTTATAAATGTAATGGATGTGGAAAAGCATTCAGTCAGCACTCTAACCTTGCTAAGCACCAGAGAATTCACACACGAGAGAAACCTTTTGGGTGTAATGAGTGTGGGACAGCCTTTGACCAGCTGTCTAGCCTTATTCAGCACCAGAGAATTCAAACTGCAGAGAAATCATACGTGTGTAGTGATTGTGGGAAAGCTTTCAGCCAGAGTACCAACTTGCTTAAACATCAAAGAATTCATGCTGCAGAGAAATTCTGCAACCAAGCAATCACTTCATGATTTTGCTTTTTAAATTCAGTCCTCAAGTTGGTGTGTTTGCTTTTCAAATGGCTTCCCTTACAGTTTATTTACATTAGATTGCCAACATTTGGTTGTTGGGTGTCTTGTCATGTTGATGAAGGTCTCCTTGAGATGATTCAGAGGTCTCTCACCAACCTTCATTCATATCTAGACACACATGTATGTATGTGTATCTATCTATCTATATATAGTATGCATATACACTCACATATATAAACCTTTGCTACAACAGCAAAATCACATTTTAAAATGTGAGCCTCTAGAGCAAACTTAAACACTAAAATATAATTTGACATCTTCATTCTTTCTCAACTCTAAATTACCAGGAAAGGCAAAATTATCAATAATAACCACTTAGTGAGTACATACTATGTACAAAACACTGAGCAGAAATAAAAAGTAGAATCTTTGCCATTAAGCACCTACATAGAGACGTGGCATACACATGAGAAAGTTGCATAAGAAAGATACAGATTACTTCCCCTCTTAAGTGCTGAAACAGGATATTTAAAATGACAACAGCCATCATGTAATTGGATCAAAAGCTTTGGACTCTACATTTCACTGGGCATCAGAGCTTTCTCAGGTATAAGCTATAATGCTTTAGTCTTTCCTTCATTTAGCAACTAGAGAAAGAACTGTATTTTGCCAATAGTTAGCACTAAATAAACGTTTAACTGAATTGAATCGGACAACTGTATGGAAGGAAGAGAAAAGGAGACAGAGTTCTCCCAGCTCCACTCCAAGAGCCCTTGTTATCTCCCATCCTAAAAAAGAAGTAATGGAAAGGTATGTAGCTGTGAGTTTTAGGGTTGAAAAAATACAAAAACCGTGGACTTTTAGTTGTCTCAACAAGGAGATGTTTTAAGTTATCTTTGTTTTTAAAACATCGCCTCTTACCTCCTTGATAGATGGAAGTAACTTAATATATAGACAGGGCAAAAGTTGCTTCAACTTCATCTCAAAGAACTTTCAATTCTCACCATTACTGGCTTACCTTGTCAGCTGAAAATTTTGGGGGATTGGATATATTGAGTTTGTATTGACCTTAGCCATTTAAAAAGATTGCATTATTCAGAAGTGGAATGTGGCTGTTGGAACATGGAGGACCTGGAAGTAGGGCCCCTAACTACCTGCCCCTTTTTGTAGAGTAAGGGCAGTCCTAGGAGTAGGTTTCTTTAATTTGATACAATGAAATGGATGTTTCATAGAAAATCAGTACAAGGCTGCAAAATACCTGAGAACAGAGATGCATACAGAAGGGATAAGACTTTGCAAGCCCAGGGTGCTTTTTAGTAAATAATGTTATGATACAAACAGTAATTCTCACTTTAAGGTAGGGGTTCTTAACCTTTTGGACCCCTTTGGTAGTCTAATGAAACCTACAGATCCCTTCTCAGAATAACATTTTAATGCATAATTTTAAATGCATAAAACATAGGGTTACAAAGAAAACCAATTATATTGAAGTGTAGTTATCAAAATTATTAACAAGTTCCTAGGTTAAGAACTCCACATTTAGTGGGATACGTTATTTGTTTTATTTTATTTATTTATTTTTTGTGAGGCAATCAGGGTTAAGTGACTTGCCCAGAGTCACAAAGCTAGTAAATGTCTGAAGTCAGATTTGAACTCAGGTCTTCCTGACTCCTGACTCCAAGGCTGGAGCTCTATCTACTGCACTACCTAGTTGCCCCTAGGCAGCTAGTTCTTGTCAGACTTGTGGATGCCCATTTCTTTGGTAAATTGTTTTCTTTGCCACTTGTTACCTCCACTGACCCTGGGTCTGTCACTTCAACCTTGTGCTTGTTTTAGGCATTGATGTTTTAAAACAGCCCTACCCTTGCCTCATCCCTAAGTCCCTTGCCCAGGATGAGATAGTAGCAAGTTCCTTTATTAGTGGATTCCTGCATTCATTATCCTAGGTTCATGCTGACCACATAAGTCAAGGTCAAGGGCTATAAACAGCTTAGATACCTTTACTAAACTGAAATATCCAAAGTCATCTCACAGGATGGCCTTCTTACTTTCCCATGGAAATGTGTAAGGATTCATTTTGTTTGTTAGTTTGTTTCTCTTAGGACTTTCCCCTCATACTGTTGTTTCTTTTTAACTAACTTTGTAAAAGGAGCAGCTAGGTGGCCCAGTAGAGAGAACACTGGGGCTAGAGTCAGGAAGACCTGACACTAACTATGTGACCCTGGTCAAGTCACTTAAGCCTGTTTGCCTTATTTTCTAATCTATAAAATGATCTGGAGAAGGAAATGGCAAACCACTCCAGTATCTTTGCCAAGAAAACCTCAAATAGGGTCACGAAGAGTCAGACATGACTGAAATGACTCAACTTTGCAAAACATCCTATATCTCTGTTGGTCCTTTCCTTAGAGTTCTTGTGACTCTTAATTAGTATGATTACCTAGCATGTTCCAGGGGCTCTCTGCTTTGTCCTGTTGGCTTTCTTACCTATGAGCAAATTAGCTGTTTTCATGAAGGACTGTAGAAGAGTTGTATTAAGGATCTAGCTCTTACTGAGTAATAATAAGAATAAATGGCATGTATACAGCACTTTAAAGTTTACAGAACAGCTTATACGTATCTCATTTTACCTTCACAACTCCTATATAAGATAGGGACTGTCATCTCCATTTTACAGATTATAAAACTAAAACTGAGGCTAAGTGACTTGCTGAGGATTATATGACTAATAAATGTCTGAGGCAGGATTCTAGCTCAGGTCTTCTTGACTCCCGATTGAGCATTCTATTTACTGTGCCACCTAGATGCTTCCTAATCAAGACAAAATAATAAATTCAGATTTTAAAGGGGAAAGTTTTGTGAAACACTATCCAGTATTCTATCCACTATACCACAACTGCCTCCCAAGAGATACTGAATTGTTTCCTGTTAGGTCCTATTAAAAAGCTAAGTTTATATGTTGCTGGGACCAGGCTCTTTTAATCTTTTTCAAAATTTTGGGTAGAGTATGTCCCAGTATTTCTAGTTTGGGGTTATATCTTCATGCTGATATTTCCCTTTCTTCTTTCAGACTTTGTTCTGTTTTACAAATTTTTTTTTTTGCTTACCAAATAAGATTTTATTATGGCATTTCTAATGACATACTCTAGCATTGTAAAACACTGATAGAATTTATTGTAGCCATCTAAAATGATATACATTCCCAGATATTGGCATTCCAGGTTATTTTCTTGCCATTGATGACTAATAATTTTAGCCTGACAATAGGAAAAAAATCAGGACTAAGATATTCTTTAACATGCATTCATGGTAGTTCTGTTATTGCAGTTACTTGGCTTATTAAAGGCACAATAATTATATGATTAGGTAGTCTAACTTAACTTCCTTATACGTAAGAAATTTATTAAAAAATGTCAGCAATAATCACCATTCAGGGATTCTTTCTCTATTCTATTATTATACAACTAGGGATGAAGTTTTTTTTTTAGGCAGTTGGGGTTAAGTGACTTGCCCAGGGTCACACAGCTAGTAAGTGTTAAGTGTTTGGTCTGAGGCCGGATTTGAACTCAGGTCCTCCTGACTTCAGGGCCAGTGCTGTATCCATTGTGCCACCTAGCTGCCCCCTAGGGATGAAGTTTTGCAGTTGCTCCCTGCACCTCTGAAGAAAATTTCAACTCCTGAGTCACTTTTATCAAAACTTTATTTCCTTTCCTCTGATATTCTGGAAATTCCAATACTATTTGATCCATGGCAGCTCGACCCAAAGTAAATTCTGGATCAGAATCACTCTCTGAATTGATAGGGTGACCACCAACTTTGGCGTGGTCGTAAGCTGTCCATCGAAATTTATCTTGGCAACAGAGATCAACATCATATTGAAGAAGACTGACTATGCCTACTGGTTCACCACTGGCAGCATGCATAATGGCTGTCCTTTTAGAGTTATCCAAGGCATTCACATTTGCTCCATTTTTTAAGAAAAAATCTACCATATTTAGATTATTTTCTCTAATTGCGACCACAAGCAGTGTATAGTCTTCCTTGTTTTTTCCTTCAATATCCATGTAATGTTTCAGCGGCTTTGCTGCTGTAGCTGTGTTCTGTCCAAAGGCAGCATAGTGAAGTGCAGTGTTGTTGTTGATGTCCACAAAATTAAGGTCTGCACCATGTTAGAGCAGGGTAGTAGCACACTTGTCATGTTGACACTGTACTGCCTTAATTAAAGCTGTTAGATTATCATTGTCCAGAAGGTTTAGATCTCAGTTTCTTTCTACTAAGAGAGACACAACATCTGGATATCCATTAGCACAGGCCAGGTGTAGAGGTGTCCCTCCCACACCTGGGCCCAGCCTCCAGCCCCACTCTGCAGCCACCTCTGATGCTGCTGCGCTCCAGCCTCCCACCCCGTGATGCCCTAGACTCGGACCCGGCGCCAGAGCTGGGCTTGGTCTCCAACATGGCCTGACAGCCCTGTCTACAAATTTGTTAACCCATAAATTGGAAGACTTGCCATCCTCTTGCAAATACCAGGCTACCTGATATGTATGGCTTAGTTTGTCAGAAATGAAGTTTGTGTGAGGAGTAGGATGATTAGATTATAGAGTATGTTAAGAAAAGTAACATATAATAACCCTGGAAAAGCAGGCTGGAGCCAAACTTTGCAAAGTTTTAAATGCTAAACAAGGGAGTTTGTATTTGCTCCTAAAGGGTAACAGGAAACCACTGGAATTTACTGAGCAAGAGAGTAATATAGTTAGACCTATGCTGTAGTAATATCACTTTGGCATCTGTGTGGATAATGAATTGGAAAGAGTAGAGAGGCTATTGGAATAGTCTAGGTGAACTAGGGTGGGGAGAAGTGGATGCAAGTGATACATAGATAGGAATGACATGGGTAAGAAAATAAGTTCAGTTTTAAACATGCCTAATTTAAAAGATTGCTTTGGGATGTTCTGTTGAGGGCCGATCTTAAGAGTCTGATAAGGGTTTAAGATCCAAGGCAGAGTTTGACCTCTGCTCAGGCTTTCACCCCAAAGGGCTCAGGGATTAAGTGGTACGGCTCCCCAATTCCTTCCTGATAAAGATGTCTCTGAGACATCCCTTCTTTCTCTTTGAACCTTAGGTTTACATATTTACTCCTCTATGCAGGTGGCACCTAGGCACCTGGGAAAACCTTGGAATCTACAGCCCAATCTAGGAACCCTGATAAGGAGGAAATTCATGATTGTTACATCCTCAGCAGATGTTCTGGGAAGTATCTCAAGGGGAGGACTCTTTGAAGTTAGGCTAGATCTTCCCTATATGTTCTGTGCCCTCAGATGAATAAACTGAGTCAGTAATTCTGCTCCGCCTGGCCCATGTCAGAAGTTATTTCACGCCTCTCCGTTCGGTGTACAATCTGGTTGCGGGCAACAATATTCAGTTCAAGATGTTCAATAGACAGTTGGGTATGTGAAAATGAAGGTCAAGAGAGAGATTAAGGCTGAACACAGATCTGAGAGTCATCTGCATAGAGATGATAATTGAATCCGTGGGTACTGATGAAAAAGCCAAGTGAAATAGAGGGAAAAGAGAACCTAGGATGGAGCCTTGGGGCACACTCTTGGTTAGTAGGCATGATATAAATGAAGATTCAGCAAAGGAGACTGGCAAAAAAGTGGTCATACAGACACGAGTGTCACAATATCCAGGAAAAGAGGGAGATTG